AACAAAAATAACTATATACAAAACCCTTATACAGCCAGTGTTGACATATGGATCGGAGACATGGACCATCTCCAAGGCAGACGAAGACCTTTTGCTTATATTTGAACGAAGGATCCTGAGAGGAATATTTGGTGGCATCTGTGAAAATGGTGTTTGGAGGAGGAGATACAACTACGAGGTATACCACAGATATAAACAAATATTTGGTGGTAAAGACGTAGTATCTCTTATAAGAATAGGAAGATTAAGATGGGCAGGACATCTAGCAAGATCACAGCAGAACAACCCTCCTAGAAGAATCCTTATGTCACAACCCGTGGGAAGCAGAAAAAGGGGTAGGCCAAAACTCAGATGGAAGGATGGTGTAGATGAGGATGGTAGAAAGATAGGCGCAGCAAACTGGCAACGGTTGGCAATGGATAGGACTGCCTGGCGTAATAGACTTGGGAAGGTCGAGGCTCTTTCATAGGGCTGTAGCACCATTGATGATGATGACATCACTCCTTTCCGATAAATGAAATAAAAGCGGACTTCCAGAAAAAGGCTCATAAGGTAAAGAACGTTACAAATGTCAGACACAGATTGAGCCGTGATCCATTACCATTATTTTTTGTGGACCTTGAGCCTTAAACGAACAACAAAGAAATATTTAAACTACAGTATAGACAACAGTGTAATAAGGGTAGAACTACCCAGAATTAAAAAAAATATACCACAGTGTACATGATGTCAAGAATATGGTCACACTAAAACTAGTTTATTTTCAACAAACGTTTCAATAAACGTTTTGCGGGATCTAGCAGTTGAAATATAGGGCTACTACTACTTTTATTTTATTTTAGTTTTCTAACTGTGCGTTTTTGAGAGTAGATTCTTGAGAAATATTTGATATTTTAGTTGTAGTGTTTAAATCTTGGGATGCTAACATTGGTTCTTCTGATAGTGGATGTATTTTTGTATTATCTGGACCTGCATTATCTGGACTTGGTAAAGATATTTCATTATTTCGGTGTCAACCAGAACTCCGGATTTTTAACATTAAGTTGCTTTGTGGCGAGGCTATTTGCAGTTATAGCATCCCATGTCATCTTGAGATATAAAAATCTTATAGAATGTATTGTCAAACTCAGGTAGAAATGACTCCGGACGTGTTAAGCTTTGGATACTGATATAAATTTGCCTTCTAAAGCTGAGCATATAATTATATATCTGATAAAGTAATTTCAAGGAATGTCATAGGTGAAACCGGTACTACACCAATATTTTGCAATTCGTTGATTAGTATTTCGTGAGGTATGGTAGGGCATACGTTAAAGAGAACAACAAGAGAACAATTATCTTTGCTTTGCTATCTGGTGTTATTAACTTCCTTGCTTGAACAATTTCACCTTAAGCTTCAATGTATTCAATGTTGTTTATGGAAAATTCTACCATTTGTTTGCTGGAGAGGTATAAGCAAATGCGATTGCTGAATAATCGGAAGCAGAAAATAATATTTTTGGGTTGAATAATGTTTCCCAAAGGGATAAGTGGAAGACAACTGGGTTTCAGAAACAACCATGGAACTTTGGAACCAGAGGAACGTTATTCAGTTTGCAGCCCCTGATCTAAAAATGTAGGGATATCGGACAACCAGTATAAATACATTTTATCGACTTCAAAAAAGCCTTTGACCAGGTCACAAACAACAAACTAAGAGGTGTGTTGAAACAGGTCGGAATTGATGACCAAGACCTCCATATTATCAAAAATTTGTATTGGCATCAATGTGCAAACAAATGAACTGGTCAGAATATGACGGAAGCAGTGAAAACACGACGTGGAATGAGGCAGGGGTGTATTTTATCGCCTCCATTTTTTAATATCTACTCCGAATTTATTTTCAAAGAAGCCTTAGATGAAGATGCTGAAATTAAAATCAACGGGATTAATGTCAACAATCTCAGATACGCAGACGACATGGTGCTGATTGCAACCAATGAAAAAACATTTGTTGAATTTGGGCTTAAGCTTAATACTTCTGATCACAAACACATTGCAAAACGTTTTCGGATTAAACAATCCATCATCAGTGCAAACCTGAAAGTATATAACCACTTTAATTAAAAAGAACGTTAAATTAAAATGTTGACAAAGGTTAGAGCAAAATGTGGTTAATACTTACGGTTGTACATGCTAGTAGCCACCAAAATATATGGGTCAAAACCCTTTAAATGTTTTAAATTTGTAGTTGTTTTACATTATTAGTAGTTATAATTTGTGATGTTTAAGTTACCGTTGGATAGGTAACATGGCGGCGTATGACTCTACATGAGTAAAATGGTCCTGAGACGAAGTGTCTACGAGGACCTGTTGATAACAACTGATCAAAATGACATTGTTGACATGTTAGGACGGATGTTGTGTCAGAGCAGTCAGTGTAACTTACGGTAGTTGTCTAAAAATGACAGATGTCAGCCTTATTTAAAATTGAAAAAGTTAAAATTATAATAATGTAACAGTATCAACCATCAATATTGTAATCTGTATTGTAAATTAATCAAATAGCTATATTTGAAACATTGAAAATTGGTTTTTTAAAAATTAATGTGGGTCAACTGGAATTTATGAAATTTTGTAGGATTGATAGGCAACCAACTATACATGTGTAAGGATCTATTTATTTTAAGCTAAAGATTTTGTCAAAAGGCCCTGTATGTTGTGAGACATTTGGTACCTAGAAAATGGTAAAAAGGCACATGTGGGAAGATGGGTCCTAAAAGATTTATTATTGAGTATTGATGTAGTAGGTGGAGGTGTGTTTAGATATGTTGTTGAGCTGAAATGTAAATATGATAAGAATGTGATTGTAATGTGGTGTTCGTGTAGTACTCAACTTAAAACTTAAGTATGGAAGGCCCTCTATGTCAAAAAACTACATTTGGTACCTAGTAAAGATAAATAAAAAATTTTTTAAGTTATAAGTACGTGAACATGAATTACTGGTTATGTGTGTAAAGTAAAGATGGTAGGTTGTTTATGTGTGTGGGCAAGTATGCCAGACTAACAGAAAATTGATGGCTGAAAGATGGTTAGGTGTGATATTGTTCCTACATTGCTTGTCATTTTTAGACAACTACCGTAAGTTACACTGACTGCTCTAACACAACATCCGTCCTAACATGTCAACGATGTCATTTTGATCAGTTGTTATCAACAGGTCCTCGTAGACACTTCGTCTCAGGACCATTTTACTCATGTAGAGTCATACGCCGCCATGTTACCTATCCAACGGTAACTTAAACATCACAAATTATAACTACTAATAATGTAAAACAACTACAAATTTAAAACATTTAAAGGGTTTTGACCCATATATTTTGGTGGCTACTAGCATGTACAACCGTAAGTATTAACCACATTTTGCTCTAACCTTTGTCAACATTTTAATTTAACGTTCTTTTTAACTTAAAGTGGTTATATACTTTCAGGTTTGCACTGATGATGGATTGATTAATCCGAAAACGTTTTGCAATGTGTTTGTGATAGCCCGTTTGGGGCATTTTTATATACCTTTTATAAAGGATTTTAAACAATTTTTTTGTGATATATGGTATACAGCCAGCTACAGGAACTTATTCTGTAATACTTCTAAGAAAAAACTTATGGTTCTCAGCAAAACAGAGTTACAGCAATGAACATCAAAGCGTATGGAATAGAGCTAGAAAGAATCCACAATATCACCTATTTGGGAGGCAATGTTAACTGGCATATAAGCAAAGAAATAAGAATACGCATTGAAAAAGCCAGAGCCGCCTTCTGTAAATTAAAGAAAATTCTCATTAATAGAGATATTACAATAGACCTTAAAATCAGATTAATACGTTGCTACATCTTCTTCACATTGCTGTATGGCATGGTGAGCTGAATTCTGAACACTAATGAAAAAACTTAAGGATTTCGAGATGTGGATTTACCGATCGACTAACAAATTAAATAGTTTTACCCGAATGAAAAATATCACAGAAATAATAAAAATAATAGGAACTTGAAAGTTACAATATTTCGGCCATGTAATGAGATATCCAGACATGGATAACCTTCTACACCTCACAATACAGTGCAATATCGCCGGAAGACGAGGCCCAGACCGAAGTAGAACATCCTGGCTCCGAAATAACCTGGAGTGGTACCACGAGACATCCACTAATCTGTTTCGAGTTGCCGTAAACAAAGTTATTATTGACAATATGATTGCCAATGTTCATTAATCGGACAGAGTACTAATTTGGTATTATCCAGTGCTTTAAAAATGATCGCCTGTACCTTGGACGGAAATTATACTTTTGATGTTTCTGAGAAACATGTTTGTGAAACCTTTTTGTTGCTTTTGAATATTAGATTGTTTTGTAGTGAGTTTTCCATAGTTAATTTATTTCATTAAACAGTCTTTGTAGGCACAAATATTCCGACCTTGACCTCCTGCAAAAACAGTTATATGGGTCTTTGACGACAGGTGTAATTAACGTGAAACCACTGATAAGAAAAAATTGTTTATAGTTGAATTATCACACTGTCCCAATATAATAAATTCCAGAAGATTTTACAAAGAAATTAAATAAATTTTGTACACTTGCAGTAATTAACTATAATTAGGCACAAATTCACAATTTATAACGTTTTTCCACTTGAAAATGACAATTTTTACTAAGCCCATGCAGGAGCTTTTCAATTACAACGTTATTTACTATCTTTAATATGATTTAACCACAATTTCAATTGGAAATACGTTTACTTTGTCATTTTAGTCTTAGCCTATGAAAATGTTCGTATTTTCAGAACGAATTCAATTCAGATAAAGCAGCTATTTAAAGGAAAAAGAAAATGTGGAACTTTTGATTTTATGTTAGTAAGAGACGACAAAAATGAAAACTATAAATATATGTGTTATGAATAAAAGATTGTTTTATACACTCTATATTAGTTGAAAGCCCAAACCCTGTCAGCTTGTACTTACTTACCTCACTAGCCTTAAACCAAATAGCGGCCAGCTTTGGTGGTAAACAGATTATCACTAATTGGGACGCTGCTACAATTGATTGTCCTAGAAGAACAACACTAAATAGATCATTTCTAATAGAAAATACTTTAATACTGGTTCCAATAAGAGTTCCGATACATCCTATAATTCCAGCTGTCCTTAATCCCTACAATACAGATTTCTGATATTACTGGAAATTATTACGCAAATAATTTTATAGTCACATTAGGAAAAAAATATGTAAGAAGATAAAGAAAGACACTTTTGTTTTAATTATTATTACTTTTGCTAATACAAACCATTTCTAAAAAAGTCCTTTTGAATTTATTGTTTTCACTACATAAAATTTTAATGTTATCAAAATCCATAATATGGTCTTAGTCGATTACATGCTCTGCCAAAGCAACAGATGGTTTTTTAATTCTGCAATCACTTTTGTGAGAAATAATGCGATTTGAAAGATTTCTTCCGGTCTCACCAACATACTCAGCTTCACACTGAGTACAACTAATGCTGTATACTACATTGCACTTTTTTCATTCCTTTTATTAAATGATATGTAGATGATTTAGTTTTGGCACTTCCTAAACACAAAATTCATGAAACAGTCAACATTTTCAACAATCATAATCAACATATACAATTTACAGTTGAGGAAGAGGTAGATAATTCTCTACCATTCCTTGACATGAGAATTGTAAGAAATGCAGACGAAAGTTAAAAAACAGGAAGATGTTGAAAGCCAGATTGTTCAGAAAATTAATATGTAGTAATAGATTTAAAAGCTATTACTCTCATCATCCAAATAAGATGAAAATGCACCTTATAACAGGATTAAAAGAACGTATTTTAAAGCTTTCTCATCCAGATTATCTACAAGAAGATCTTCAATTGTTAAAAAATATTTTAATTGAAAACTCTTATCCTCCAGATATGCTACATAGGATGCTTTTTTCTAATATTGTTAATATAAATAACAACACCATTTTTTGCTAAATCTCAGAACATTGTATCCAACAATCAGAACATCTACTATCATTCACTACCTTTTATACCATCATTAACACCTAAATTAATACAAACACTAAAGGTTATTGACAATATAAAAATAGCAACAAAGAACATCAAAACAATTTCATCTTTATATTCCAAAACTAAGTATCGTATAGACAAATTAGATAAAACAAATGTAGTATACAGCATTAGTTGTACTCAGTGTGAAGCTGAGTATGTTGGTGAGACCGGAAGAAATCTTTCAAATCGCATTATTTCTCACAAAAGTGATTGCAGAATTAAAAAACCATCTTGTGCTTTGGCAGAGCATGTAATCGACAAAGACCATATTATGGATTTTGATAACATTAAAATTTTATGTAGTGAAAATAATAAATTCAAAAGGACTTTTTTAGAAATGGTTTGTATTAGCAAAAGTGATAATAATTTGAACAAAAGATCAGAAATTCAAAATCTAAGCAAAATTTATAATTATATTATTTCTTTGTAGTTTATATATGAAACAGTAAAATATCATATTTTTTTGATTTAATTTTCCATATATTTGTTACATTTTTTCAGGCATCTATCAATGGATGAATAAATCATTCTTCTTTTTTGATACTAAACAAAAAATAATTTTTAAACAAAATTTTATTTTTAGCAATATAATTGTCAAAAATAAAAATTTTAAGTTGGCATTTATGACATTAAGGCATAATTGTAATTGGTCGCTATTCTAACTTATTTATAAATTAAATTTTGTTGTGTTAAGAAACTTTTTCAAAATTATATTAGAATTTCAGAAAAATATTTATTAGAGAAGAACATTTTTATAGTAATATTTTTTGAAATATGTTAGCAGCAATTTTATTAAAAAAACTAATTTTATTTTTTGAGGTAACAAATATATTTTTTTCTTTCTAGTTTAACTTTGTAAGGTATTTTGTATTTTTTAACAGCTCCTGATAATAATTGTAAACACAATTGAAAGCTCGAGTAAAAAATAGTTAATTAATAGCCCCTTTTATTAACTTCAACCCATCCAAAACATATGTATATATATATATATATATATATATATATATATATATATATATATATATATATATATATTTAATATACTGACTGCATCCTCAAAAATCATAACTTGATATTGACAATAACAAGATATTGACAAATTAAGTAACATTTATTGTTACATATTAACATATCAATAACCAATTGGCATAACATCATAATCTCATTTTCTATCGACATCCCAACTGACTGGACCAATTTGTTATTTTATATTTTATATTTTTTATCGACAATCAAATTAATAATAATAAAAACTATAGTTACTGGTTTTGCTTTCCACATAAAATAACTGTATATTCATTCATATATGTACATTAATCAAACCAACATGACAATGACATATATAATGACAATATATAGTCCGTCTAGAAAGTATCCGGAATTTTAAATTTTTTCTAATTTTAATAAATTTCCTTTTTGTAACAGGTTATGGACAAAATCGCATGACAACAGCATCTGTGAAATATTGTTGTTTGTAAACAGACTTAAGATTTGTGAAATGATGTCACAAGTAGAAAAAAGAAAAGTGGTGGTATATTTATATAGAAAGGGCGTCCGAAACGTTAAAAAATTAGTGCAATTTCAGTGTTCAAGAAGATAATTTTAATAATGATTTTATATCTGATGAAAGTTGTTTCCAGCTTGGTGCAAATCATCGAAAAGTCCTATCAAGAGAAAATGTTACCGTTCAAAATTCCAAATTTGCCACTAAAATAATGGTTTGGGGAGCAATATCTCAGCGTGGTGCTACACCTCTCTGTATAGTTAATGGTACTGTTGATGGTGCGAAATATTGTGACATCCTAAATGGTTTTCTTTTTGAAACGGCTCATGTTTTATATCTAGAGGGTGGCGTTTTTAGCAAGATAATGCAAGATGCCATACTTTTGCTTACACTCAAGCGTGGATGTAAGAACACGAATTGACAACAATTCCGTGGTCAGCAGCATCTCCAGATCTTAGCCCCATTAAAAACATATGGAGACTGATGAAGAATGAAGTGGAACGAGTAACGCCACGAGATAAAGAAGGTTTGATTCGGTTAGTTTTACAGGCCTGGAACACCATTACCGAAAATTATGGCCTTTACCTAGTTTCGGGTGTACCTGGACGTTTAGTTAAGTGTTTAGATTTAAATGGAGGTTGTATAAGTAAATGAGATGAATTATTTGTTGAAATTTTTTATTTCAAGTAATAGAAATAAATACCATAAAATCATAAATTCTGCTTTCTTTTTTCCGGATACTTTCTAGACGGACTATAGTTATTTTAACAAAAAATTTTTTAAAAAATTGTAATATTTATATGTGTAATGGTTGGTTTCATAAAGTTAAACTTAAACTGTAATCTCACGACTAGTAAGTAAGGTAATTAACAATTATAACTAGATAATTTTTAATTACTATTTATAACTGGGAATAAGCCACATTAAAGATAAAAATACATTTATTGACGTTTCAATTTCCAATTCGGAAATCGTTCTCAAAATACAAATAGTAAATTAAACAAATTTTGTTTTTTGTTACATAGTGAAAAAATTCTTCTGATAATTTAATTTTATCTGACTCATTTATATTGACAATTCAGACATACATTATGCATTTTAAAGTAGACGACTTTAAAATGATATTGCCAATATTGTTGAGTTGCGCTCCTGGGACGACTTTACTTATAAGATAGTTCATTCGATTACATGAAATCAACTTTAACTTGAGAATATCCGTCAGAAAAAATCATAGCATGTAATTCGTCTTTAAAAAGACAAACACATGACATGATGACAGTAAAATTCTCCTGTTAGTGATTCCATAGTAAATTATGAGGGAAAAACCAGGAAAAAAACCTCATAATACTATCCGACATTGTAAGATTGGTTACCAATATTGAAAGAAGTTATTAATAAGAAAATACAGTATTAGTAAGTCAGTAACATATAGAGGATACATCATTTATGTTTTTTAAATAACGTAACATAAAATCAGAATTTTGATGTTTGTTGAAGGTAAACTAAATTCACGAACAAATACTTACAATGTCGGGATAGTATTATGAGGTTTTTTTCCTGGTTTTTCCCTCATAATTTACTATGGAATCACTAACAGGAGAATTTTACTGTCATCATGTCATGTGTTTGTCTTTTTAAAGACGAATTACATGCTATGATTTTTTCTGACGGATATTCTCAAGTTAAAGTTGATTTCATGTAATCGAATGAACTATCTTATAAGTAAAGTCGTCCCAGGAGCGCAACTCAACAATATTGGCAATATCATTTTAAAGTCGTCTACTTTAAAATGCATAATGTATGTCTGAATTGTCAATATAAATGAGTCAGATAAAATTAAATTATCAGAAGAATTTTTTCACTATGTAACAAAAAACAAAATTTGTTTAATTTACTATTTGTATTTTGAGAACGATTTCCGAATTGGAAATTGAAACGTCAATAAATGTATTTTTATCTTTAATGTGGCTTATTCCCAGTTATAAATAGTAATTAATTTACAATGCCACAAGAAAATAGCTTCAGAACAATAATAGATAATTTTTATATTTCTTTGTTAACAGATGTCTTTATCTGAAAGAGTAAAAGCGGGGAAGAGATCGTATTGAAAATACCACTAGTAACTACTAAAAGAACGACATATCAGCAAAAACACCAAAATGCAAAGATATAAAATATCACTCAGACCTGTCATAACAGACAATGTGCCTGAATTATACAGGCGAAGAGAAGCTAAGAATAATAGAAAGGAAGATTCTTAAAATAATTCTTGGACCAAAAAAATCCAAAATGGGAAGTTTAGACGATTTTCTAATACCGAGATAAGTACTTAGATAAATGGAGAATCTATAGTGAGACATATAAAGGCTTTAAGGTTGAAATGGCTCGGGTATTTACTAATACGAGGGGAAGATCAATTATTCAAGAAAATGTTAAAATCGAACCTAACAAAGACCTAAAAAGAGAACAAAGTGCAGATGGGAAGATCAGGCCGGAGAAAATGTTAACAAAATAAAGATACCTAACTGGATAACAAAAATAGAAAGTTGAAAAAAATAGAGCCTAATAACAAATAGGTCGAAATCACACAACAACCTTTAAAGAAAGGCGACAGAAAACAATCGGAGTGATCCCCGCGAAAAACGGATCAGAAAAGCTCATATTAATGGGCGACTCATATTTCTGTCTAGTCATATGCCAAAATTCATGAAAAATATCAAGAAAAAGGAACTACAATACAATTAAACACGAAGCAAAAAAGACAGCTATGAAAATAAGAGAATAGAAAAAGCTGGTAAACAAGATAATATGGAATTCAAAAAGTAATAAATGAGATTGGCAGTCTCATTATCGTTGATTTTTTGCCATTGAAATGCGTTCAATAATGCGTGAAATATATGATAAATGATGATGATAATTGCAAGCATAAAAACAAACTTACCTTTTTGTCTATAATGTACGACGCAGGAATAACTAGCACAGGATATAGCGACATGTAAATAGTGGATGTCCAATCAACAGCCAACGTGCTAACATTATAATACTTAACCACAATGTGAGTGATACTCGAATATTCAATCCACTGTATAGCATTGATGCAAGCATAGTAAATAAATAAAAACATAATTAGCCATCGCCTCGTATAAGCTTTGATCTCCGGCTTCTTCTCCGCAGAATTCTTCAGTAACTTTACCTCATTGTGTTTTACCAATTCTTTCTCCATATCTTCACGTGCATCTATTTCCAAACAAATATTAACTTTAATGTCTTAATGAGTAGAATAATTTAATTGGAACCGTTCAAAATGTGCTAGTGTTTGAAACAATCAAAGATTTATTAACTTAAATTAAAAGTTGATGGTGTGACGTCTTTAATTCTATTAAAAATTCATTCGAAATGTGATGATGTTATAAACGTCCACATGCGTATTATGGTTGCCGCTAATGTAGAAAACCATCACTAATGCCATTTATTATACTATTCTATTCGAGTTTTTGTGTATTTAAGTATTTAAAGGGTGGATTAGACAGGAACAATATTTAGTCAGTTTGATAAAATACATTCTACTTTTATTAGAATATATTTGCGTTGCTAAAACTTTGTTATTAAAGTCGAGCAGAGAAGGGAGCAGAAAATAGATAATTTAGTTAGAAAAAATGTTATCAATAAAAAAGATTATACGTAACAGGGGGAATATAAGACAAAAATATTACTTTTAACTTTTATTTTGAAGTACTCATATTATTTGTTTTTTTTTTATTTGAAACTGTTCCAACCACAACCACAAGAGACATTAGCAATGGTCGATTTTACAGATATATATATATATATATATATATATATATATATATATATATATATATATATATATATATACATCGGTTTAGAACGTCTTTCGACGTTGTCCGTTACCTAAACACCATCTCTTCCTATCTTTGCAGTCGTTTGTTGTTAAATTTCTTTCGCTCATGGACTTGTTTACGCCGTGTTGCCATTCTAATCTGGGTCTTCCTCTTTTCCGTCGACCTATCGGTTGCCATTCTACTACTATCTATCTATCTATCTATCTATCTATCTATCTATCTATCTATCTATCTATCTATCTATCTATCTATCTATCTATCTATCTATCTATCTATCTATCTATCTATCTATCTATCTATCTATCTATCTATCTATCTATCTATCTATCTATCTATCTATCTATCTATCTATCTATCTATCTATCTATCTATCTATCTATCTATCTATCTATCTATCTATCTATCTATCTATCTATCTATCTATCTATCTATACTATCTATCTATCTATCTATCTATCTATCTATCTATCTATCTATCTATCTATCTATCTATCTATCTATCTATCTATCTATCTATCTATCTATCTATCTATCTATCTATCTATCTATCTATCTATCTATCTATCTATCTATCTATCTATCTATCTATCTATCTATCTATCTATCTATCTATCTATCTATCTATCTACTTTTTTGGGGAGTCTTGTTGCTGGCATCCGTTGAACATGCCCATACCACCTTAATTGTTTCTTCTCTATATCTTGAGTTATATTTCCTTCTATTCCCATACGTTGTTTTATTACATCATTTCTGATTCGGTCTCGTCTGGAAATACCTAAAGATCTTCTCATTGCATCCATCTCTACTGCTTCTATTCGCTTTTTGTTCTTTTCACTAATTCTCCATGTTTCAGCGCCATAAAGAAGAGTAGTTTTAATCATGGTCTCATATATATTAAATTTTCTTCCTTTCGTTATCTCTTTACTCCACAGTATACCATTGAGACATCCTAAGACTTTCTTTGCTTGAGTGATTCGTTTTTCTATTTCCCGTGTATCAGTTCCTGTATTGTCAAAGGCAACACCCAAGTAGTCATAGCTCTGACAGCAGGAAATATGTTGTCCGTTTTCGAGGTCTATGTTATCTGACTCGTTTCCAATACAAAGATATTTGGTTTTTGTTGTATTGACATTCATTCCCCAGTCGTTATATTCTTCTATCAGTTTTCTAAGCATGTACTGCATGTCTTCCCTGTCGGTCGCTAGTACTACCTGGTCATCAGCAAACTGGAGTGTATATATACATTCATTGCTAAGCTCTATACCCATCCTATGCACCTTTCTTTTCCATCTTTCCAATGCTGCTGCAACATATATCTTGAATAAGGTTGGTGAGATACAGCATCCCTGTCGCAAGCCTTTTGTAACCAGGAATTCTTCCGTTAGATATTTTCCTGTTTTTATCTGTGCCTTTGAGTCTCTATATAGTTCTTGTACAGCATTTATCAATGTGTGGTTGATGTTAGATCTTTTCAACGTTGTCCACAATTTTGTTAAGGGGATGTTGTCATATGCTTTTTGCAGGTCTACAAAAGTAATATGAGTTTCTAGATTCTTAGCCGATCTTTTTTCTATTATTTGTTTAAGACAAAATACGTTATCGGTGCACGATCTTCCTGCACGGAACCCGCTTTGTTCTTCCTCTTCATTGTGCTTATATTCTTCCTCGATCATATTTCTCAAAATTCGTCCATACAGTCTGCTCAGGGTGCTGGTTACCGATATGCCTCTATAATTATTACAATTCCTTTTGTCCCCCTTTTTGTGTATTGAGGACATGTATGCCGTTCTCCATTGTTCTGGTACTGGGTGTCCATTTAGACACTGATTGATCACATAAGTTAAGTTTTCAAATAGTTTATGAGTTCCATTCTTAAGCATTTCAGCATAGATTCCCTCAGGTCCAGCGGATTTACCATTCTTTAGGGTCATTACAGCCTTCCTTACTGTTTCGATGTCTACCCTCGCTTCCTCTCCTTGTATATGTACTGACTGTGTTGGGGAGTTCGCTAGGTATTCTTATCTTGTCTCTGTCAGCAAGCTTTTATAGTGATCTTTCCAGTATCTTGGTTTTATGGTGTGTATGTGTGCTTTGTCTTTTCCTGTATTTTTTACTGATTGTATAAAATTCCATACCTCTGTACATTGCTTCCCTCCGATGTATGAATTGATTTCTTGTCATTTCTAATCCCATGTTTTATTCTTTTATTGTTTTATCATTTTTCGTAGTTGTCTATCGGTTTCTTTGTAAGTTTGATGGTCTTCAGTATTTTTTGTATTTAGCCAGTTTAGATGCTGTTCTTTTTTCTGTTTTACCATATATTCGATTTCTTCGTTCCACCATATTTCGTTACTAATTTTGTTTTGCTGTGTCCCGAATGTCTCCTTAGAGGCCTGGTGTAAACTAGCAATAATATTCTCGTAAATGTCTGAAAATGTTTGTCTCTCTATTTCTCGTAGTTTTTCATCCAGTCGTCGTTGGTATAGCTGTTTAGTACTATCATTTATAAAACTATTGAAGTTGTACTTCGGAGTGTCCACTGTTTGCAAGTCTTGCTTGTCTTCTAGGTTTTGGTCTCCGTGTATTATCTTAAGTGGGAATAAAAGTAGTGATCGGATCCACATGTTATTCCTCGGAGATCTCTTACATCATTCCACTGCAATACAGATTTTTGTTTACTAATAATATAATCGATGACTGATTTTAAATTGCGTGTTTGTTGTATTTTACAATTTTACAGATAACATAAATATAAAAAAACAAAGAATAAAATTAGATTTCGTTGACTTGTCCTGAGGAAACTAACAAAAGTATGGTACGATTGTGGTCCCTATGTTCACTGAGAATGTCTTTTATTGTTGTAGGTAACAGCTCATGTTCATGTTGTCTTTCAAATGCCTACAACGGATACTCCACTAATAAGGGATGTACTGTTAGATCACTATCACACGCGTAACACAAAGGTTTGGGTTACTTTTATAGTAGGAAATCATGTGTTTTCTTGGTCTGTCCTAATCTTAGTCTGGAAATGATAACTTGATCTCTTCTTTTCTTTTCAAAGGTAGTCTGCATGGTAGGAGAGTTTGGTTTATGGTTTTAAGGTTAGAATTTGAGACATCCCCTGTTTCGTGCCATTTGTTCATTATTTTCTTTTTAAAATATTGTTTGATATCAAAGTGGTGACAAGTAGACATGGACAATGAAATTGGTTTCTCGATTGCTTCTTTTGCAACGTTGTCGGTTCTTTCATTTCCTTCTATTTCACAATGTGAAGGAATCCAAAAAAATTGAACAGTTCTATGATTGATTTGGCATATCATGAGTTCCGACTTAATTAAACTTAAAATAGGGTGTTTAGTAAAAAGTTTGTTTAATGAGGATAAAGAACTCAATGAATTTTAATGATTAGGCAATTAACAATTTTATTTTCAATGGCGAATTTTATTGCCTAAAGAATGGCAAATAGTTCAGCAGAGAAAATAGTGAATTGCTTAGGGAGTTAAAATGACCGTTCTTCGCTGGTTGTTACAAATGTAGCAACCACTCCATTTTCCGATTTTGACGCATCAGTATAAATGTGGATGGACTTGAGATGACTATTTAACTTCTCTAAGGCTTTGGTTTTAAAGAGGTATGATGAAGTACCAGATTTTTTAAATGATGTATGACTAATATCGCACTTTGGGAGAGTGCTAATATTGTCCATGGAGGAGGATTATCAAAATTTTCAAGTGTGTATATAGGAGATAAAGTGATGTCTAGGTTATTTAGAATTGTGCTGATACGATGATAGAATGGTGGATCTAATCTTCTTGTTGACTGAAACTTAGAGAAAAATCTGTCAGCAAAAGTGTTTCTGAAAACAGGAATGGTTGGATTTGCCGTCACCCTTTTAGCATATGAATGACTTAAATATTCCCTTCTAAGCTAAAGTGAAAGCTCCCCAGATTCACAGTACATGCTCCTAATAGGGCTTGTGTAATGTGTCCCTAATGCTTTTCTAATTGCGTAATTATGAACTGGATTGTTCCATTGGATGGATTGAAAATTTTTAGTATTAAAGTTTTTGCCGAGTTGTACACAACTGCCTCATAATCAAGTTTTAAGCAAATTAAGGATATGTATAAAGTCACTATTATAAAAATTAATAGGAAAATCCCAGTAGTTGGCTGTATACCATCGTTTAAAAAAACATACAGAAGTTAAAACACTTCACAATTGTATTTTGGTATAAAAACATATAGTTAAAACTTTTAAAAAGTGTCGTCAAAATTTATATAGTAGCATAACGTTTTCGATCTAATCAGATCATCCTCAGTGCCTTATGTAGTTGAAGCTAACAATAAAGTTGTAGCTGTGACATCCATATATGGGTTTACATCATTCCAAATTTAAATTATGTTGTGTAAGGAGAAAGTTTCGGATAAAATGCAAGATGTTTCCTTATATTGACCAGCTTGACAAGGCATTTAAAATATCTTGTCTTCAAATTGTGTCATAGGCTTAAGTTATATCGAAGAAAACAGCTAAATAGTCCTGCCTACAGCTGAATGATTCATGTATCACAGACTCTATGTCTACTATGCTATCAGTAGTAGACCTAGATTTGTTAAAGCTGCTTTAAATTGAGCTCAGAAGTTTATTTTCCTCTAGGTGTCACAGCAATCTATTACTGACCATTTTCTCGAGTAGTTTACATATGGAACATGTTAAAGAGATGGGTCTGTAAGATTGGACTCAATTTACTTTTACTATTTTTAAGTACGGGAATAATGATAGAATTATACCAATTAACAGGAAAGACATTTTTTGTCCAAATAAAATTGTAGTGGTCTAGTCGATACTTTCTCTTGAAATATAGATACTGCTTGCCTTCAACAGGTAAAGTTTTAAAAAATATGGTTGGGAAGTTTGTCAATTCCGATACTTGAATTCTTTGATTGGTTAAGAGATTCATTGAGCTCGTCCATTATAAATTCCACATTAAAAGGTGAACTGGTGTGATCGTCATAATCAATGTTAGACCCAATAAATTTATAATTTTAGAAATAGAATGTATTTTTCTGGTATCCACTTTACAAGTTACTACATGAAGGTAAACTTCAATATTTGGGAGTGAGTGATTGCTTGTTTTTTGTTTGGAAATTTATTTATAGGTTGAGTAAGAGCTGTAGAATATAATTTTGATAGTTGGTTTACAAGTAGATTGCGAGAACTTTCTATGGTAAAAGAACCCGCAGCTGAATCTGAGTACGGTCAAGGTGCTTACAATGGATCATTACCGAAAGAACTGGTAATTAACCTCACGCCAAATCGACGAAATAGTTGGTCACCCTTGATTTGTTATAGATGAAATAGGAAAATCAAACTTACAATTTTATTCCAGAAGAAGTAATACTTTTACTGCACCTTTGTTTAAATTATAGATATAAACAAAATTCTACATTTGAAACACAAAATTACTTATTTTGTCGAAACTAAAAACCTAATTTTAAAATATCGATTATAGCCAATTGCTGACATGTGTACTGTTCGGAGGTTCGAACGAGAATTATCATTATTTAAAATACTTTATAAAAGGTATATAATAAAATGCCCAAACGGGCTATCACAAAGATATTGCAAAACGTTTTCGGATTATTAAAACCATCATCAGTGCAAACGAGGTATACATGCTATGAGCCACCAAAATATATGGGTCCAAACCCTTTAAATGATATAAATTTACATTTGATTTACATTATATGTTGTTACAAATTATGATGTTTAAATTACCGTTGGAATTGGTAACATGGCGACGTATGACCCTACATAGGTAAAATGGTCCTGAGACGAAGTGTCTTCGAGGACCTGTTGATAACAACTAAAGGAGTTGTTATCAGCTCCATTTATTGGAGAAAACTTTCTTCTGATGCAAGATAATGCTCGTCCGTATATCGCAAGAATAACACGGGATTACTCAGATGAAGTTGGGATTCGTTTATTACCATTGCCCCCAAGGAGTGCAGACTTAAATCGAATAGAGTATGCATGAGATATTCTTCAACGATGTATTAGACGTAACCATGGTAAGTTTGAATCCATGAACGATTTGTAGCAAGCAGTTCATGACGAATGGGAGCAAAGTCCTCAAGCAGACTTTGCTGTCTTAATCCGAAGTATGCCTGATCGATGGAGAGCCGTCATTAGAGATCGTGGAGGTAATACACTCTATTAAATATCGTTTTCCATAAAAAATGTTTATATTATAAAAAAAATTTGTGTCTTTGCAGATTTTTAAATTTTTTGAATTGTTTATTGTTTTTTCTGTGTAACATTCTTGAGTTGTAATAAATTTTACTTTTATATTTTGTTTATTATTACTTAATATTATTATTATAACTTTTTTAAACGCCAGTTTTTAGGAAAAATCTGTGTCCGGTTAATTTTAAACTCCAGTATATATATATATATATATATATATATATATATATATATATATATATATATATATATATTTAATAAATACTGGATATTAGTGACTGTCGATTTAAACAAACAACAAAGTTTTTTAGGGCTGCAGTCAGCACTCTTTTGACTTTTGGTCTAGCTTTCGGAATTGTCTAATTCCTTTTTCAAGTCACTGTAATTAGAAAAATGTGTAAATACTTGAAATTATTTGTATAAAGCTATGACATTCAACATTAATAACATACATATAAAATAGAACATATAAAATAATGGACAAAATACATTTTAAAATTTAGTTAAAGATAGTAAAAATTCGTATGTGACATCTTTTGTGTGTTTTGACTGATCCATAGAGAATAGAAAGAAAAAAAAATAGTATGATTAAAAATTAATTAGGTGTTCTTCATATTTTATATTAATAGAAAGTAATGTATTAAATCTGTGTTGATGGTATGTAACCTGTTTGGCTTGCAAGTGTATTGTGGTGTATATATGTACAAGTAAGTCTTTATTTCATTTTTGATGTTTTGTCAGTAAATAGCAATAAATGTTGCTCAGTTTATTTATATCAGACTTTTTATTTATACAAGACGTATTGGATTTTATGAAACACATTTCCAAGAAAACACGTTTAGAATGGTTTTTTCCCTTGCCAAAATACAGGAATCCTCGAAATTAAATTCATGTTTTAAACTTAATGCATGTTCGTGATGATTCACCAATATACACGTTTTTACAATTAGCACACGGTATAGAATAAATAACATTCGATGATTCCTGTATTGTGAAAGGATCCTTTGTCTTTGTATACAACTTCGACACCGTTTTCACATTCTTCGTTGCAATTTTTAAACCATTAACATTTTTGAAAATGTTTATTAGCTTTTTATATATATATATATATATATATATATATATATATATATATATATATTATATACATAATATAATATAAAATTAGTATTTCAGTATTTCTTGGTTTTGGTTCAATAAGTATTGAACTAAGTATATATTAAATTTAGAACTAGGTTTTATTATCCACTTAAATCAACGTTTCGGCAGGAAACCCTTGCTTTTGTCAAGATTATAAAATGTACACGATTAGGAACAAAAAGTTATTGTAAAATATGTATAATAACTTACCAAAACGTAAAACGAGACACTGACATTAATA